CCAACCTTCTCTCTCTCTCCTTCTCTCTTTCCATTTGAGATGTGCATGAGAAAATCTTTTCGGAATGTACAATTAAACGATTTCTGTTGCAAGTTGTTTTATAAGGAATTTCCGTTTGTCTGCTGAGATGCAGTATCCTATCACTATAACCTCGTTTGGCTGCCTGCCCCTTTAAACACGATTTTCTCTCTCTCTATCTCTCTGTCTCTCCCTGCCCCCCCCTCTCTCTCTCTCTAACACACTCTCTCTCTAACTCTCTCCAGCCCCTTTTTGTAAATATTTGTAATCAATAACAAAGAAGACTCCAGACGGAAAATCAGATTAGACACCATTTTTAAAATGAGCCCCCTGTTGCTTTCTTTCGAAATGGAACTTCTTTCTCCGTAAATGATCCCACGGATAACCCAGCTAAGCCCTGTGTTATGTATGATAAAAGAAATGCTAAACTCGCTATGAGATACGGACTTATAGATCTTAAATGTCCATTGTCTCGACTTTCTAAAATGTGTCTTATTTGACCTTTTCACTGGTCTCTTAAAATGTTTCTTCCTAAAGTATTGCGAATATTTTTAGGTTTCTTATTGTCTCGATCAATGTAATGGTGGATGTTGTTATCCATGATAAAAATCAATGTAATGATGGTAAAACTGGAGTGAGAGACAGACAAAGAGAGAAAGAGCGGCAGAGAGACAGAGACACAGAAACAGAGAGAGACAGAGAGAGAGAAAGAGAGAGAGAAAAAGAAAGAAAGAGAAAGACAGAGATAGACAGAGAGAGAGTCTCTACATCTTTACAAAATTAAATTAAATAGACAGCACCATTTCACAATCGCCTGGATCAATTTCTGGTATCCAGAAAAAGCTGGTGTTTAAAAAAAGACATCAAGAGACATCTTACAAAAAAGTGTTGTACTGTTACATTACTAAGTAACTTCCCAGTTTGGAATTTTAAAATATATCAGAGTCATGGTTTAAGCGCTCGGTTTTTCTTAAATTGTCTCAAAGCTTTAAAATATGCTTAGGCATTCGTGGGATGACTTTGATGATATGTGGAAACGGTACAGTAGACTCCAAATAAACCAAACACAGTTAATCCGAAAATAGCAGTAAACCAAAAGTAAAATAAAACAGAATCGGGCGAAAAGTGACGCTGCGGGCTACACCAGAGACAATCCGGAGGTCCAGCAGATTTCGGTTCACGTGGACTCCACTGTCTTATACACAGTCTAGCATGCACATAGCGAGCACATACATATAGGTAAACACGCACACAGCAAACACATACACATAGATTTACACGCACAAAACGAACAGATCATCATGGCCGTATTTTTTTAATACATGTATAGTCTTTGCATTTAAAACATATACATAGAGAAATTCATACGAAACGAAAATTTTCCCATGTACATCGATTTCGCTGGTTGCGTGCTAAACTTCTAATTTTCAGACAAAGAAAATAAAGACACAATTACAACAATGATAACAACTTAAATTGTATTGCAATTTATTTTCTGTGAACATCGAAATATCCACACAAATTATAATACTACACTTGGACATAATTATCATAATAAAAACAGTATAAAACAATTATTGTAAAGAAAACAATACCAAATAAAGCATAATCCCAACCAATAAAGGACAAAGAGGAATGCAATAATACTTGTTACATTTTTAGACAAAACAACCAGCATAAACACGGCATAACTGGCAAATTAAATTGTAAGTGCTTTAAAACCTCTTGAGATATGCATTTTCTTACTCAAAAATGTACCATTGGGCACAGATAAATCAAAATCACGGAAAGCTCATACAATTTGCCATTACCCTACTAATATCTTTTTAACTTTTCTTTTATCCATTAACCTGAATTATGAAATGTGTCGAACACATTCATCAATCCTCGGCGTGTTTGAATTATCCTAGACCCAACTGCATGTTGAGTAAATTAAGCAAAGTGATACATTTTATTCCACATTTTGAGCTTTGGTGTGTCAATAAAAGATCATAACTAATAAGTTTATTTTGTAAAATGTCTATCAACATATTATACTACGTGCTGCATCGTGGTGAAATCAGGCGCTCGTCAAAATAATGAAATCCAAAATATCTGCATTTTTCTGCCAGTTTGGCAATTTTTGTCAAAGTTTTGTTTTTTAGCTCAACACCTTTAATGTTAAAAAATGTGGATTTTACTGAAAAAAGTTTACTAGTACTAGAAGCAAAAAAAAAAGGTAAAATTTCAGTTTCCAATGACTCTCAGGCTTTGGAAATCACCAAACTTTCGCAGCTATTTTCTCACTAGTTTTACCTCTGAAACCAGGCCACCCCACTCCTTCAATTGCAAATATCTTGACTTATATTCGAGATATATTGGTATTTTTTTCATTAAAAAACAGGCAAATGAACAAGCTTTAAGATGATAACAATAACTCCACATACCCAAAATTTGACAAGTGCCTGATTCCACAGCGTAGTGACATATATGTTAATGGACATTAAAAAAAAACAAAAAACTTACTAACACAAATACAAAAATCTACAAATGTAAAGTAGGACATCCCTATCCACCTAGCCTGTTCCTCCTCAACATAAAACACACACACAAAAAAAAAAGAAGTAAACACCCAAGGAATGTTAGGAAAAAATAGCAACTACTCCACCAAGACACCTGGGAAAACAAGGAACTACATTATGCAAACATAAGCATACATTTTAAGAAACATTTTTCTTCTTTTTTTAAAAACAACAACATAACGTCTGCAAACAGACCAGTATTTTTGGAAAATCAAATATACCTGGAATAGCAAACAGGAACATGCCTTTCAAAAAAAAAATTTATCGTGGTATTAATAAGCATATAAGGGGAAATTGTCAACATATAAGTAAAGGAAAAGTTGTCTCATTGATCAGTACCAGGAGCATTCTCAGTCAGATATTTTCTGAAGGACGCTTCCCAAAAACTCAGATCAAGTGTACACAGAATAAGTAATTTGTAATACATGTAAGAGTCTTTTTTTATGTTAGAACATTACCATCCAGATAGCTGCTGCCCCACATCCTTACAAAATATAGTCGGCAAAAGGGACTTGTACAATGAACAATAGGCCACACAGGCAGCTTCACAGACATAGCACAGTTGTAAACATTCTCCCTTCATGAACTCAAACCTGCCAACCCGCCCATCACCCAGTCCTTTCCTCACAATCCTCCCATCACCCAGTCCTTTCCTCACAATCCTTCCATCACCCAGTCCTTTCCTCACAATCCTCCCATCACCCAGTCCTTTCCTCACAATCCTCCCATCACCCTGTCCTTTCTTCACATCCTCCCATCATCCAGTCCTTTCCTCACAATCCTCCCATCCCCCAGTCGTCCTTTCCTCACAATCCTCCCATCACCCAGTCCTTTCCTCACAATCCTCCCATCACCCTGTCCTTTCCTCACAATCCTCCCATCACCCTGTCCTTTCCTCCAGGATCCTTAAAATACCAGAGTTTAGGGGTGGGGGGAAATTAAGTCTCCAGAACTCCAGTAGATTCAGATTTTGTTACGAAAAGATCGTGGCAAGTAAAATAAACAGGAATTGTAAATATACATGCTTAAAAAAAATTTTTTAATCTGAAACTGCAAACAAAATGTGTATTTTCATGTTATTTCTTGCTTGTTTTAGTAAGGTTTTACTGTACTCGCACCTGCATAAGGTCATATGAGCACCAAGGGGTAGATATCAACATAGGAGTCCAAACGGGGAATCAGGTTTACTCTGCTCACCTCTCTAGCCTCAACAGCACAAAGTCTGCTTCGATTATCAAGGCACCCCAGAAATAGCAGTTCACAAGAGAGTGACAAACATACAAGAGGAAAAGTGACAATAGTAAGGATGAGGAAAGAAAAAGCAGGAGTTCCCCTTATGTTGTTCCTGCACAGTATGAGCATAACATTGATAAATCAACCCATTTACAATTCTACTGTGCGTAAAAACATGTTAATATCCCCCCTTTAGGAAAGGCCTAAAGACACTTCAGTCAGCAGCACTACTCTGGTGGGGAATGTCATTTCTGATACATCTCTCAGATATTGCAAATAAACATGTGTATTTCCACATTATTTTTTCCAAGATACATACAACCTATGGAAATGGAATTAAAGAAGAAAAAAAGGATTTTATGCAAACCTGATCGGAGTTCTTTTTCTAAAAGCAAAAAATAAAATTGGAAAGCTCTGATTTCATCAGAGTAACTGGCAGGTCTGTTTGAAGTCCACATGGTTGACGGACGGACAGAGGACATTTCGCGGGTCTAGAGGAAAACTATTCTAGTGACATTTTGCAAATTTTACAGGAGAAGGAAAAAACTTTCTCGCAACAGAACGAAATTCTAGGATCCGAAACTCACATGTAGTGTAGAAAAAACAAATTATATACCAGCTCATTTTGTGAATTGTTGCATCAATTTTTTCCACTCTTGTTAAATCAAACAAAGTGTCACTTAGAATACTTTTTCCTGAACAAAAGTGTGAGGGAAAACTATTCAAAAGGGGTACTTAGAACAGTTCCGTTTGTTTTTGGCAGAGCCATTAGAGAAGAAAAGTATTCTAACTTACGCACTTACAATAGTTTTCTTCCTTTTCTGCAATCTGTAGCAACTTTCAGAACTAGGAAAAGTATTTTAACAGCCACATATAATACTTTTGCTCAATATGTTTTCTCAAGTAGGAGACAGAATAATGTTTCTTTGTGTTGTAACTCAGTCATTTTTAGAGCTATGGCTCTATGTCTCAACACAAGATGCATCCCTTTGTGGAAGTTAAGGCAATTGAAAAATCTCCATTTCGGCTGACAAGTCACTTAGAACAGTTTTTCTCTAGACCCACGATTTCATACTAGCAAAAATCTCAGACACTCTTCACTACATGACAGAGTTACATGCACCATTCGAATCAATGATCAAACACAACGTGGAACCTGCTTAACCTAAAAAGTGAGGGACCACTGGATTTTTTTTTCTGTTTAGCCATGCTTTCGGCTTAGAGAAATTGCTCAAATAGTGGACCAAAAAAAGGGGAATTTTGTTTCTTTCAGTTTACCACTGTTTTTAGATTAATCAAGTTAAGTTTAAAGCAGACTCTAGTGTATACATGAAAATTCAACTTAAGACGCAACAGCACTTACTTTAAAGCCTGGTAAACAGCAAGCAAATATTATAAACATAAAACGAAAGAAACAAAAACACACAAAGCAGCATCATACACATAAACACATCTTCAAGGAAAAGAGATTAACAAATTCCAGGGGTGACGAGTCTAAACAAAAAAAAAACTCGAGACAGTACAAAATCTCCTGCCACTTGAGCAAGGAGACAAATTTGCCGGCACAGAAAAAAGTTCCATAAAGGCCTTTGAACCCTGGGCAGAGATTCTAAAACTATATCAACAAATACCCAACCCCAGCTCAATTTCAAATTTTATGAAGACTCCCGACCCCATAGATCACAATGATCCAAGAGCGTGTAAAATTTTGAAAACAAGATGAGCCATCCTTTTCTAAATTTTGAACGGATCATGTCATGTAAAATCCTTCTCAGCATTCTCATAATCAAAGTTTAGATTTTTAAAAAATAAACTTTGAACAGTGTTATTATTATTTTAGGTGACGGACTGTAAAAAGCGTGAAACAGAGGAAATAATGGTAATAGTAAATTTCATGTCTCATACTTGACACAATTTGTATATCAAGGAATCCCCACTCTGTGTATGTGACATTTTGGGTCGCTGTTATAAATCCCTCCCTCATTAGTTACAATGGCAGTTTCTAGCAGCATTGGACAAAATGGTTTTTATTAAAACTACAATGAGCCTACGCCTTATTGCATAGTAATTTTCTGAGCTTTGGACCAATCCAGGGATTTCAAGGATGTGTGCCTCCCTGATGTAAAATAAAAATCTGGAGGGCCCCCCCCCCTGCTTTTCCCCCATAATTTGACGTTTTGCAAGTAAGTTTGAAATTTTATTTTTTGATCAGTTGATTTGAGATAGTTCTAATGGCCTACATGTCACTTATACAGGGGTGGGGGGACAAAAGAACAGCGGGACTGGGCTAGGCCAACTGCGCAGAAGATGAGTTTTTGTCATGGACCCTCCCTTGACTCGTGTCTAGAATAGATAGTTATGATAACACAACATTGGAGACCACATTAAGGTCGACTCTGTCATATTTTATACCTCCAGGAATTTGGGAATCAAAAACTCCAGAGCTTAGAAAAGTACATTTCAGGAAAACAAAGACTAAATTTTGTTGATTCCATGAAGCATGAACCCCATAAAACAACATCAAATACGTTTATACTGAACCAAGACCTTATCATTATTATGATAATTTCCACTAAAACAAAACATGAATGAGTGAGTTACCAACACAGCAAGTGAGTGAGGGGGGGGGGGGGGGGGGTAGATGAGAGAGATAGAGAAATTGGTAATTACCACCACCATCTGTGAGCAAAAGGTTTCTGGATGTCACCTAAAACATACTTGGAGCCGGCATTCTCTCGAACCCCCCGGGAAAAGCTCCGCGAGGACCCTGCCCGTACTTGACTCCAGAGGTGTTGACGGGACTGGTCAGGTACACAGACATTGGGGACTGTTGTGACGGGGGAGGGACTTGAGGCTGGTAGTGAGGATGTTGCTGCGACGCCGGTGGGTGCCGCTTGCTGCGACTCGTCTGCCGTTGCACTTGCGGTTTCTGCTGCTGCTGCGGTTTCTGTTGTTGTTGAAGAACAGGAAGTTTGCCAGACTTGACCAGATCTTGAAGGCCGCTAAAGTGAAGCTTTGCCATGTGGTGCAGGTCTTCAAAAACTGGGCACAGAGCAAGAAAAAAATATGACTAAAAATGTTTTAAAAAACATGTTCATCGTGGCTCTGTGCTGGGTCTTTTCTTTTTCAACCCACTGAAGCATGAGCGTTTTTTCAATAAAAAACTTTAGCTGCACAAGACTTAGGCGTTGAGTTTTTGAAGGGTACCTATGAAAAGTGCACACTGATATAAGATTTTAGTGCAAAAACACAACCTGGGGTTTACTTCCCTTTTTCACTCATACAACACAGGACATCAGTACACAACAAAGCAACTGAAAAATCAAAAGGCAACATTTTTCATTTTTGGTCATTATTTTTTCAAGAATGCGTTGAATTTGGGTCTAATGGATCAAGCTCTGAGAGGACCCTTTTAAGGGCAATAACTTGGTCAACTTTGCACCAACCTAATTCAACAAAACTTCAAACCAAGAGTGGCTGAATTCTATTAATTTGAAGTTTTCTTGAAACTGGTACAAATATGACCTAGTTATTGCCCTTTAACTCTTTCCGGACATAGTTTTTTTGGGGGTCTAGTCATAATTAGCTTGTGGCTCGATTTGGCTAAGCAGGTGGTGTACAAAATAACTTCATAGAAGCATAACCATCACTCAAAACGTAACATATGATATATCAAATTGAAGGAAATTGAATGAGGAATACATCCCAATATGAAACAAAAATTAATTTTGAACATAAGTATGCATTACAAGGGTGAGAAATGGCGATGGTGATAAGAAAAATTAATTTTGACGGAAAAAAATTACATTCACGAAACATGTGAAAACAAATCAGCATAGCTATCTTATCATATACAGGCCAACTAGGGTAATCCATAAATTTCTGAAAGCGCAGCTTTTTATTTGAAAGCGATATTCCAATTTTTGTTTTTGAGTTATGATATTTATACTGAGTCCGGTTACATCGTTTTGTTAATGCAAGAACGCAAGAACTAATTCACTCGTTTTCCCCCAAACTCACCCTTTGACAAAGTGAAACTAATTGTTTTCGAATCCTAAATCCTTTCAGAGTTTTTCAATAACAATAAAAAGTAATTATAAAAGACGGATTGTGTTAAAACGAAAAAATACGGAGGTACCCTATCACAGCCCGCAAGAGGTGTGCACTCACGCTGATCTATCGGCTATACGTCCGGAAAGAGTTAAAAGTTTTTATTTCAATTTTTTTAAAGACACCTTGTACATTCATATCTTATATACCTTTTAAAAAATCCAACTTCAAAAATAAATGGTCGCTTTTAAGCACAAGGGGGCTGTCCCAAAAAATGCAGTTTTTGAGAAAACCAAAGGTAAAGTTTTTGCCCCTTGTTCTGTTTCTTTACAAGACTTTTTTAGTCTCTTTTGCCACTTCCTTAGCAGTGACACTGTCATTGAAGAGAACCAGGCCTGCCAACAACTCTATGGCCAAGAATACAAGTTTTCCTCAGGGTCCTCTTAAAACATTGGAGTTTAGGGAAAACAATCCAGAGTCTCTAGAGCCCCAGTAGATTAGGATTACAGAACAAATGACTACAGCAAATACACATGCTTGTAAGCAAATAAACACAAATAAAAACAAGCATTTTCACATCAGTTACAAAAAGTCACACAAATGTTACAATATGGCAAACATTAATGAGTATTTTCTTGACATTTATAAGTCCCATATGACCCATAGGAAATGGAAATTAAGATACAAATCTGATTTTGTGTAACTCTGATCAGTGCTCTTCAACGAGCAAAAAAAATAATTGGAGAGCTCTGATATTATTGTTGTATTTGGCAGGTCTGTAAAACTAATATAAGTCACAGTCTACAGAAGTGAGTCATTAGACAGCCATCTATTTAGGAGACGAAAAACTCCGATTCCAAAGCTCTGCTGCTTTGCGGGTATGCTCTCATGAGAAAGGCTTCAGCCGTGGAAGACAAATGATCTATAAGAAGGAAACTTAGAAAGGAAATCTATTCCGGAAAACAGAAGTACCGATCCAATGACGTATACCGACAGAATAACACATCACATCGTGTGAATGGACAATCAATCGGTTGTTAGACATTTACCTTTCCCAGCATAGGGTTTGGCAGCGGATGTGCCGATGACAACTTTCTGAAGACACGAGACCATGGCTGCTGAGGCGAGGGTGCTATGGGGCTGTGCAAGGTTACGAAAGTAGTCAAGGTCGACCTCAAAAGGGTTTCGGGGCGCTGGATACGTACACAGCTTGACCATCTCTGCCAGCAGGTCAATCACGTGCACATCTGGTGTGAGGGGAGGGTAAGGGGATGGGGATGGGGGAGAGGGGGGAGGGACGGGAGTTCAAACAAACTAGTCAGTAATGCACCAAATTCTAGATGGGCTCTCAAACAATTCACAAAAATAAGAGAAGCATGACAATTCAGTGAAGCTACATATGTAAGGCAGCATGGTGAAATCAGGCGCCATCAAAATAATGAAGATTGAAATTGAAGAAACTGGCATTTTTGCGCCAGTCTAGCAATTTTTACTGAATTTTTGTTTTTTGGCTCACCACCTTTTATGTCCATTGAAAAACACATTTGTGTGTTGATTTTACTGAAAAACGTTGATTAAAAGCACCAATAAAATGTAAATTTTCCCTTTCCACAGACTCACAAGCAATGGAAATAACCAACTTTGGCACCCATTTTCTCGTTAATTTTACCTCTGAAACTAGGCAACTCTCACCTCCTTCAATCACAAATATCTTCACTTGTATTCACGGTAAATCTGGGGGTGGGGGGTCATTGAAAACAAGAGAAATAAACAAGCTTTGAGAGGATACCAATAACTCCACATGCCCCAAGATTGAAAAGCGTCTAATTCCACCACGTTGTGACACATAATTTTGTGAATGTGGTAAAACAAAATGAGGCCCATCTCTCCAACAGAGATATATCACAGAAGATGAACCTCTGCTGTCATCCATTACACAATAACCACTATAAGGTGATATTAAACCACACACAGCATGAGTATCTTCAGTAATAATAATAATAATAATAATAATAATGATGATGACGATGATGCTGATGATAATAATAATAATAATGATAATAATAATAA